ATGGATGGATGGATGGATGGATGTATGGATGGATGGATGGATGCATGGATGGATGATGGATGGATGGATGGATGGACTGTAGTTGTTGTTCGGCCGTCGGTGGATCACCACCTTCTGCTGATTTGGGTTCAAAGATCAGAAGCTTCTTCTGAGGCGATGAGCAGGAGAACCGGTCTGATCCGGATCTCTAACCCGCCGTCTGTCTCTGCCTGTCTGCAGTATGTGACCCTGAGAACCCGCTACAGCGAGCTGATGACGCTCACCAACCAGTACATCAGGTTCATCACAGACACGCAGCGCCGCCTGGAGGACGACGAGGTGAGTCCGCCGCCGCCCGCCGCGCTCTTCTTCTTCCTCCTCCTCACGTAGGAGACAGGAAACGGTCTGCAGACGGTGATGAAGCAAAAACACCTTCATCCTGTTTTTCATCCCTGCTGCAGTAAAACCCGACGTCCTTCATTTAAAGCATGAAACCCAGTCAGGAACCAGGAAACCCAGTTTAATTTAGCTCCACCTGCTGGTCAGGAGGCTTCCCTCCTGCTTCCTGCCTCTCAGCCATTATTTGACCTTTTTCTTTGTTTCTAACTTTATCTTCTGTTTGGCTCCTCCTCTGAACGACTCGCATGGTGAAAACGTTCACATGAGTTTACCCCAAAGCTTCCAGGTATTTACCAACGCGCCCTCCCATCCCTGGCTCATTGCATCACTTCCTGTCTGTGCGAAGGAAGGTTCAAAGGTCTCAGGAATCATTCAGATCCGGCTTTAGTTTCAGCTGTTGGAAATCTCTGAATCAGAATTTCACTCGCGGGTTTTTCAGGAGAAGATTTTTAAACATTCCTACCCTTTCTGTAGCCTTCCCTGCTCCAGCACCAGTTAGCCGCTAAGCGTTAGCCGCTAAGTGTTAGCCGCTAAGCGTTAGCCTGCGTCATCCAGAACCGTGTTGGGTTTATGTCCGAGGTCACCACGCATCAGACTGAGCCTAAAGCTGCTGATTTGAGGGGAAGTTCTGGAGTGTTTTGATGCACCCGTCCCACCGGCTGTGAAGCGATCCCTCAGCATGATGCTACCTCCTCCATGTTTTTCACCTGTTAGGTCAGAAGTCCTCGTTCTGTACAAGCCTCTCAACATTTGTCCCGTCTGTTCAGAGGACGTCTGCTTTGTCCTCGTGGACTGCAGCGTGTTGAGGGTCTGGTTTGGATCCGGACCAGGATGATGTCACGCTGGGTTCTCTGAGGCCGGTGAACCTGGTCCTCCTGGTTGGTCCACTTGGACCCTGATCCTGAACCCAGATCCTAGATAAAGCAGGCCAAACGTTTAGAACTGGGATTAAAAAAGGAAAAAAGTCCAAATTCAAACACGATTAAAGTTTATCTGACCTCCATAACAGCGAATTTATGTTGACCTTTGACCTCAATAATTAACAGGTTGAAGATTTAAATCCTTTTAATCTGATGCTTGAACCTGGAGGATAATTGGATAAAATCTGTTTAACTGGATGAACATTTTCTGATCTCTCAGGAATATCTTCATCGTTTTTAATTTCCTTCTATAAAATCTGCAGATGTTCTCGCTTTCAGGCTGGAACCAGAACCAGAACCAGAACCAGAACCAGACCGTGAGGTTTGACTTTCTCCAACACTGCCAGCTTTTTACACGTTTTTACATTCGCTCACTGATGAATTCTGCTGGTTGTGGTTGAAGCTCACAGAGCCAGACCTCAGATGAATCATTCACACATCTGGATGCAGCAGAATTCACAGAAACATTTTATTTCTGCTAATCTGCAGCTAAATAAGGACTAAATAAGTCTTTTTTTTCTTCTTTTTACAATTAAAGAAGAGAATAAATGAGAACCGGCGTTCAGCAGAAACTTCCCAATAAATTATACGAACAGAGATAAACTAAATGAGATCGACACAAAGCAGTACTGATGATTAATTAAATCTCAGATTTAAATCTATAAACATTTGATAGATTAAAACTTTCTTTAAATCTAAACGAATAAAGTCTGAGATTAAAGATTTAGATTTAAGATGGATGATGGATGGATGATGGATGGATGGATGATGGATGGATGGATGATGGAT